TTATCATCTTCTCGGCCCCGCCCAGCTATGAATAACATACAAAAAATATAGGTCTTTTCAGTTGAAAATTTTCGGGAGGAACTGACCGCTTGATAAAGTAATCCTGGTTTCCCGAGCGTAATTTTCCAAGGGGAATTCGGGCTCTATTCTTCAAAGCCATCTTTGACACCAGGTTCAGGCTTTGGCAGCCATTTTTTTGGTAAAAGTAACAGATTTGTAGAAATTGAAACGGGATTCCGGAGTGAAATTTACCAGTCCTGAATTTTTCTTACTATTTTCCCGAACCGTGAACGAAACGGTTTGTCCATGTAAATGGTAAACAGCCATAGTTATGCCAAGAGAGACAAACCTAAAAGCTGAGCTCCTATCCTCAATCTAGGAGTAATAATGAATATTCCGTTTCTGGTGAGAAACGTGTTAAGGAGATATAACTTGTCGTCCACCCTTAAGTTTGATTTGTAAAGGAAGTGTAAAGCTCACCTGTCCGCATTCAACCAATAGGCAGATTCTGAAGAGCGATGAACATTGCTGCACACAACTGTTCTAAGTTCTGCGTTTCGTTTTGCACTTTCCGCCCATACAGGACTGAATGTAATCGTCTGCGGTACATCTCATTGGAGTTGGTAGGTTTGAGTAAGGAGCCTCAAAGTGCTGGAGAACACTGAAAGTCATGATACATTTATTCTTGAGTGTTGTACTGATCTCTAACTCATAACGTCTTCAACCAAAAGCATATTTTTACGATCTACGCCTGTACAAAAAAACAGTGTTTTTAGAGCTTCTCGGTGATTACTGCTGAAAATGAAAAAGAAAATCGGGTTGATAGCACAGTACGCGTTCGATATACAGCTATTTCGCGAAAGGTTGTCAGAAAAAGTGCACGCAACGACAATGCCGAAAGATATTGTGGGTAGTTTTGAGTTCACTGTTCTTCAAAGATATTTGAAAGAATGGCACGAAAGGCCATGGGCGTCTGTTTGCGAGTACTAAAGGAAATCAGCAAAAGTAGGTTCGACAGCTATAGTGTCAGGAACAACAGGAACAGTGTATTGACCATATCCCGTATTACCTTTTGGTATTTTGGCGAGCACATTTTTTCGGACAATCTGTATAAAAATAGCTGCATGTATACAAGGTGACATCAAAGTAAAGCCAAAAACTGCACAAGAGATGCGTGAACCTGTCATGTAGCTATGGTTAGAAAACGATTAAAAAGATACAGAAAATATGTGCTTAATACCATTTTTAAACAGGTGTGTGGAATGCTATCGTTTTCAATACGATCATAAAGTAATCAATTTGTACTGGTAATCACATGATTTCGAGTACAATTTGGAATAAATAGGCACAAGTAATTTTTTTCAAAGGCTAACAAAATTACACGAGCCCGTAGGGCGAGTGCAATTTGTGGTCTTTGAAAAAATTTGTGAGTGCTTGTTTATTCCAAATTGCACGAGAAAAATCATGTGATAACTTATTAATAATATTCACGAAAAAAATGCGAGATAGCTTTAAAATCACGTAAGCCACGTGCAAAAATAATTTATTCAAGTGCTGCAAATATCATCACACGTGCAGTCAAAACAACATTTTTTTCGATGTTTCTAAAGTTTCCAAGCCGCAGAAACGGGCTAAACTGTTCATGGAATCGTTCAATCTGTATCGGAGTCACTTTCGATGAAACGCAATCGCCGTTTGCAAGGGCGAATGGTAGGCGAAGTCTTGTTGCTGAGGTTGAATGTTACTTTGCAGTTGGTGAAGGAATTCATTACATTCTGCGCTTGTGAACTCATCTTATGAGGAATTACTGCACTTCAAGTACAAGGACCAGGTGTATTACCCGCTGGCTTTGGTGTGCTGTTCTTTCGTGACGGATGGCCCACGAAAGCTGTCGCTGTTCGTCTTCGTCTGCTTCATCGTAGTCATCTAAAGACCGGATATCTCTGTGACCAGTGACTTTTGCAATTGTCGACCTTTCGAGATTCGCCTTTTTCATTTTGCTGACTACTGTTTTACGGGCACTGCGATTGGAAAACCGCTTCTCAGATGTCTCAAGACTGGTTCCGGAGATGATGCTCTTCATCATGGGGTTGATTTTATTTTCTCCCACGGGCTGTACCTTGTACCACATTTCGTCGTCAGCTCGTCTGTCGTACTTTATCGAGGGATAAAATGGACCACTCGTCCTCAGATTGGGAGGTCTACGGCTAATGTACTGACGAAATAAAGCAACTGGACATTTTCCTTCCCCGGTCTGAAACATTTTGAGCTGGAACTGTCTTGGCTTTGCACTCAAACCTCCAGGTCTTGTTTTCGTAGGCCCTTCTGCAAACTCAACAAATTCGATGCCGTCGTCACCGTTCATTATTCTGAAATCCTCCAGTCTCATTCCGTGGTGTTCTTCCACATTGTCTGAATTAAAGATTCTGGGTTATTACCTCCGAGTTTTCCGCTCTTCCAGAGAATTTCTTCTTCCTCTGATGCCTGTCGAGCTTTGTTTGGGCGCTTGCTACGGCCAGCCAAGCGAAGCTCGCTTTGCTTTCCAACACCTGTTTGGACGAACTAAATTCTCGGTCACGTACAATTAATGGACAAGGTGTAGCCTTTGTTCTTTAAGTGTCTGTCAAGCGATGCCATCATTACTTTGAGGCTTTCTGGTTCATAATCTTCACCTTGTTTATTTTTTACTTCGGCGTAGAAATGCTCGAGCAAAGTGTTAAGCTCAGCCGGCTCATAATTTTCTATTTCATCTGTAATTTTGTTCTCTAAGCACCACTTCTTCTAAACAGAGAGCCAAAAATCGGTGCTTTTTGCAGTGTTTTCGTTTTTGGAGCAGTTTTTCATGTCCTCTATGGTTGTTGCGGTCGCAAAAGCAAATCTGTTACAAACGCCAGCCATTGCGGTTTTTGCTCGAAACTGGTCCAGAGCGGATCCAAATTTTGCGCCATTCAGATGGGGCACTTGATTGGCTCTCAGTGAGTTCCTTTGTTTATTAACCAATCAGAATGCCTCGTTTTGTTACCTCTTTTCTTCACTAAATTACCTTTTTTCTGACCTGTGTTACAAAAAACCTTCATTTCTCTTAGCCAATCACAATCGAGAAATGTTTTCATGTATATTATTAGGCAGGTAACCACGGGAAGCAGGGGCGAAGCTGCCTGCCATTAAGCAATTTTAAAACAGGCTTAACCGTAAACATGAGGCAAAAATAAATGCCTGTTATCATTTGTGCATTAAACAGGCAGTTTTTATATCACTACTTCTCGATCGAAACGAGAAATGATAAAACCAGGAGTCTGCTGTCGGCAAAGGGAAACTAGCAGGTTCGTCCTCAACAAATAGTCGAGGCTTGTTACTTCTTTGACTGGCTACTATTAATTGTTACGAACTTCAGTACTTGTTGATTACAATTCTATTGCTCGATAACGTTGTGCATGGCAATAATTTTTATAATGACCAGAGTGACCAAAACGCCCAACTCATATCGATCAATGCTTGGGTAAGTCTTGTAATTGGCTAGGAGACACTTGTTAACATTGAACCTTCGAGTTATTTACTTTGTCAAATCGATTTTTGTTTCTTAAATTTCACTTTAAACTTGGGTTGTCTAGTCAATGTAAAACCGAAGAGAGCAAAGAGAGAGAATAATGAATGGTTTCTAATTAATTTCTAAATTTAAACAATATCATACAGTAAACACTGAAAGAATCCCCTTTCATATGAAATCGGTTGAAGGACTTTTTTGGAAGTCTATAACCTCTGTTGCTTGCATTTTCATCGCTTAACAGTACATGTAAATACCAGGATTGTATTTTTTATGAAGTTATTATTGTTATTATTATTATTATTATCATTATCATTATTCTCATTATTCTCATTATTAAATTCTTCACTAGAATAGAGCTGTTAGTTTACTGTAATGTGTTCAAAACGCCCATTTCAAAACGTATGTTGAATTTGTGTCAAATAGATAGCAAAAATACAACGCCAGGCCAAGAACATTTTTAATGTGGCTCTTAGCCCCACGTGGAAGTGTAAAAGAGTCATCAGGGAGTCTTGTGGGCAAGAGCGCAGGAAATTTTCTCATCTACGAACACTAACAACTTATCATTATTGTAGTTTTGTCTCTTCTTCGTAAACTGTTTGAAGTAGTCTCCAAGACTGGATCGATCCATTCACCATTGTCGAGTTTATGTTTGCTGCGCACCTTCTGTACAACGCACTATAAGCATCGCGGCGACCAGTTACTGATCCAAACATTTTAATCTTTAATTTTGGTCCCCTTGCGAGGCATGAGCGCAATAATTGTCATTAAGACCAACATTGCCGTCCTTTCAAGCTGAACAGACTAATGAATGCTATTTTAAAGCCATTGTGGTTGTATTTAGAAATCGAATGAAAAGATATTTGGAAACCAATATGAGTGGACATTTTAGACTGGTGTGATACATTTGATTTGCATGTGGAAATACTCACGTTATATATTTAAACATAGGTGATCAAAATTTATCAAGCGAAAAAATGTCTATAAAAACATTTCAAAGGGACAATACCATTTAATTGATTCTGTGTAAAAGACGACAACTTACCGCTTAAATTTCTCTTTTTGGTTTATGTATTGTTTTTGCAATGGGCGAACGGCGTTCGTGCCAACAACAGATGTTTATAATTGTCCTTTTTATTCATGTCTTTTTTTTTCTCGAGTTTTTCGGCAGAAACTTTTCCCTTATAACTGTAGTAATTAACAGTTATTAGTTTTACATTTGTACTTCGCCCGCCTACATCACCAATAGCGTTTTCTAATGTTCCGTACCTGAGTTTTATTAATCCTCCGAAGTACGCCAACGGCAGTCGTGGTGATTTTTTATTCGCGAGTGTTTTTTACGACCTAATCCTGTACAAAAGAACATTTTATGAGTCTTATAAGTACCTGTCGGTAATTACTACTAAAAATACACTGATAGTCATGATACATTTATTCGCACGTGTTCCACGAACCTCTAACTCTTAACCTCTTCAACCAAAAGCACATCTTTGCGACCTACGCCTGTACAAAAGAACATTTTATGAGTCTTTTAAGAGCTTGTCGATAATTACTGCTAAAAACGAAACTAGATAATCGGGTTGATAGCACAGCACCCGAAAGTCATAGTAATGGTGACATTATAGTATAGCCCGAAACTACTCGAGAAATGCGTAGAACTGGCATGATACTGTATGATTAAAACGTTAATAGAGCAAGGTAACCAGAAAAGCACAAACACCGTTACGATAGCGATGGACATTTGAAGCACTTTTCTGTTTCTTCTTTGCCGCTGTTGCTAAGTGTTGGCGGACTGTTCACCTGGGTGTACCTGTGTCTTGAGCTTGATAAGGATGATGGAGTAAAGAATGACTAACAACAGCACAGGGATGTATACAAACAGAATGCAGATTGCTAGTATGAAACTAGCACGGGACGATGACCCTCTGAATACTTTTTTCCATTTCGAAACACACAACCGGGCTCCCTCCGGGTTTTCAATGAGCTCGTAGGTGAACACGTCTGGCAAACTGACAGTTAAGGCAACTATCCACGTGGCGAGAATGAAGAAAGGACACAGCTTGGGTCTGATGAGTGGAGAACGGAGCGGAAACACCACGGCTCCAAATCGATCCACTGCTATCAGAGTCAGATTCTGAATCCAAACGAAAAACGACACTTCTCTAAAGAAAGGGACAATCTTCCACAAGGTTTGGCCAAGCTGACCACCGATAAGAAACAAGTTAGTGTGCAAGCTTGACAGGTTCCAGGATATCCAGAATATTGGAAACAGCAAATCAGATGAGGCCATGTTTGCAATGAAATAATTTATCGGCTCTCTTAAGTTCGTCGTTTTATAAACGATCACCACAATGAGAGAATTTGCGACCAGTGAAACGATGATGATCAGACAATAGGTAACGATTCCTCCAATTTTTGACGCAGTAGAATTTAACTGAGCGAAGCAGCTCCAAGATCCGCTGGATCCGTTCGCCGTTGAGTTCATGCTGAGTTTTGCGACGTATCTACAGAGTCGTACACATTCAGTCAAGTAACTTTGAACTGCTACTCTGTGTATTGCTTATGCTGTTTGATTCAGAACTTTTATTTACAATTGTTAGCCCCCTGCGAAGCCTCAGTACATCTGCTCTCTGAGCCCTTCAAAAAGTGAGTATGTAAAATGGTGTCTACTATCAACTGATCTTAAGCCAACGAGAACCCTTCATGGGTATATTAAGAAATTGATTGAAAAGATAATTGAAAATACGTGCATAATGAGAAATAGAAATAGCTGTAAACCATGAGTCTGCTCTTGGCAAAGGGAAAATGTTCGTCTTGAACAAAAAGACGGGGCTTGTTACTTCTTTTACTGCTTTTAACTGTTACGAACATCAGTACTTGTTGGCTAAAATTCTCTCTTTCGATAACGTTGTGGCACTTTATTTTTTTAACGACCAGAATAACCCATACGCTTAACTCATATCAATGCTTGGGTAAGAGCCTCTGCACATGAACCCGGTTGACTGTCCTGGCCGGGTTTCTGAGATCTCGCCTTACCTCTAAATCCTTTGTAAAATTTTCGACCTGTTCATATGAGAGGGCGGGCTGGCTCGGTTCCCGAGATCTCGGTTTTTCCGACCGGGATCTCGGTAAGCAGAATGGAAAATTTTGCCATGTGAACACTTCAGCCCCGTCGCCGGGATGAAAGCGGAATGAATCCTTCGCAACCGTGCATGCCTTACATCGCAGCGCAGCTTCAGACAAATTGATCTTGCCTTGCCTGTTGTATATTCCACATCATAAGCATCCAATTTAACTGCAGTTGATACAGAGTTGCCAAAAGCTCTGAAAAGCGTGAAAGCTATAACTTTGTGTTTCTCCATGTTTGCTTTGTTTCTCGAATTTAGCGCTAGAACTCGTCCCCAGGATCTTCAGCCTTTTCTCATCTCCGAAACAAGTCTCATGTGAAAAATCTCAAGTCTAATATGCTATTGGCCAGGAGAGATTCATTTGCATATAACGAAAAACGATGTGTCAAAACGATTTTTTTTTTTAAATTCCACTTGAAAGCTTGGGTTTTCCAGTCAATATAAAGCAACTAAAGCAAAAAAAAAAAAAAAAAAATAATAATAATAATAATACTGAATAATAAATAACTGCAAGAAAGGTACTAAAACAGAGGGCGTTAAGCTCCTTTATGGAACGTTAATCGGCTCAAACTTTCCATAAATTAACCACGGATCCCTGCGGATATGATCGGGAAAATTCCAAGACCAAATTAAAAATGCAATTCATGATAAACATCAGAAGTTACAGCTTACAATAGATGTCAATCTTAACAGACGCTTAATAAATATTTAAGATAAATTACACAGTATCATTATTATGATTCTAATATTTTTAATTGCATGTTAAAACCATCAACTGCATGAAAACGGGAAAACTAGCAAACGGATCAAAAACACCAAAAATAATAACAGATTGAAGTAATTTCCTGAAAATCCAGACGAGGACGAAAGGTACTTTAGACGGTTCCCGCGGAAGCATAATAACATAGAACATAGCTGTTTCAGCATGTTCAGTATAACGAATTCATGACAGGGGAAGGTTTATGTTGATCACTATTTTAAACGTCGAAGTTGCAGTGTACATCTAAATAAGTAATAAATGAATCTTTAAGACATCTAACAGTACCTCCTGATAAAATTTCCCTAAGTTAATTCATCATACAGTGACCACTGAAGAGCATGCTCTTCATTTTAAACATTATAGCCTGTTCCAGGCGTTCAGATCGGTAAAGCGCGGTGTTCAGATGGTCAGGAGAGAGTTAAATCATACGAGAATTTTTATAATGACCAAAGTGACCCAAACGCTCAACTGATATCAATGCTAGAGTAAGTCTTGAAATTGTTGGCTGGGAGAAACTCATTAGCATTAAACCTTCGAGTTATTTACTTTGTCAAATCGATTTTTTTCTGTCTTAAATTTAACTTTCAAGCTTGGGTTGTGCAGTCAATATGAAACCTAGGAGAGCGAATAGAGAGAACAAAGAATTGGTTCCTAAACAAAATGTAAACAATTTCATACAGTAACAAGACCTGTTAGTTTATTATTCGTGAAGCGAGGCAAAGCGCCGAGCGAAGTGAGTTTAAAATATCGTCGTGCGAGAAGCGTGGACCGCGCGTGGATTATAGCGAGCTGCAAACTCGCATCGCCCATCAATTCCATCGATTCCCCGTAGAAACTGTTTATTTTTCTCTTCTGTTCTTTTCTTTTTTCTTTTTCTTTACGTTTAATCTTCTTTTTAGTTATTGTAGTTTTGTTTTATTTCTTTATATTGCTTAAGTTTTTTAAATTTATAAATTTTCTTCCTCATTGCCTTACCTCCCTTTCAACTTCTTGCGGTTCTCCCGAAGTCCTTCACGAGGTCCTGCGATTCACGTATTCCTAGTTCTAATATGTTCAAAACGCTGTTTGAAAACGTATGTTGAATTTGTGTCAAATAGATAGTAAAAATACAACGCCAGCCCAAGAACATTTTTAATGTGGCTCTTAGCCCCACGAGGAAGTGTAACTTTGCGGCTGAGAAAGAGTGATCAGGGAGTCTTGTGATCAAGAGCGCAAGAAATTTTTCCATCTACGAACGGTATAACAATTTCACCATTGTAGTTCTGTAGTTTCTCTTTAAACTGTTTGAAGTAGCTCCAAAGCTGGGTCGATCTATTCCCCATTCTCGAGTTTATGTTTGCTGCGCGCCTTCTGTACAACCCAGTATTCATCGCGGCGATCAGTTAAAATTAAATTCAAACTTTTTAAACTTCAATTTTCATGTCCCCTTGCGAAGCCTGAGCCCAGTAATGGTTATTTTAATAACAATTATTGAAAGACCGATATGAAGACCGATATGGAAAGACTGTATAAAAACGGGAACTCTATATCAGAAGGCCGATATGGCTGTCCTTTTTGCTGAGCAGACTAACGAATGCTATTTTAACGCCATGGTGGTTGTATTTAGAAATCGATTGAAAAGATATTTGGAAACCAATAAGAGCGGACAATTTATACTGGTGTGATACATATTATTTGCATGTAGAAATACACCCATTATGTATTTAAACATAAGTCAGGTGATCAAAATTTAGAGAGCGACAAAATGTCTATAAAAAACATTTCAAAGGGGCAATATCATTTAATTGATTTTGCGTAAAAGACAACACCTTGCCGCTTAACTTTCCTGTTTAACTTTTTGGATTGCATTTTTTGCAATGGGCGAACGGCGTACGTACCACAAAAACATGCAGTTTTTTTCTTTGCTTCTTTTGACGACGCAAAAATACTGTCACACGTTAGGGTGAAGCTCAAAATTCAACAGATGTTTATAATTGTTCCTTTTATTCGTTTATTTTTTGCGGCAGAACCTCTTCCCTTAACTTAGCGGTTCCGCAGTAATTAACAGTTGTTACCTTATTCTCCTTTATTTTCGCGGGACTTAAATTTCGCGGAAATTTTCTCAGCACATTTCGCGCGTCTTTAATTTCGCGATTGAGGATAAAAATTGTGTTTGCAGGGAATTTAATTTCGCGAAATTGACGATTAAGTCCACGTTTACAAAGAAATTTGGAAGCCCATCGTCGGGGAACTTTTGAGATGTTCTCACGAACGAAACAATATCTACGATCGTTACGCAATCGCAGCTAACAAACGGCTCCGTGGTCGCCTGGCCGATTCGATTATAGGCCATTTGCCCATAGAGATTTCTAGAGCCACTCGCTTTTTCTTATTGAGAGGTGGGATGGTTTATCTTAAAGTTACTGATGAAAACTATCATCGATCCCCATTGATTGAGGGAGGTCTGGAAATTCCTGTTGAGGTGATATGTGAAATGGACGATACACCAAGGAACACGGCAATAATGGAAAGATACAAGACACTCGTAACTAAACACTACAAGGAGCCGGGACAGGATGGTCAATTTGACGACTGTACAAAGGATGTTTTGGAGGAACTGTGCGAAGATGATTACTCAGATGCCGAAGAAGAACTTGAGGCGAATCTTGACACTGATTAACATCTAAAGTTGATAAATGATAGCTTCTTGTACTAACACCTTGTGTTAAAAATTGTTTAGCACCCTTGAAAACACCACTACATGATTTTTCTATGTCCATTAAATTTCGCTAGATCAAAGTTCGCGGTCGTTATTTTTCACGGGTCTTTAAGTGCGCGAATTTTTTAAAATCGCTAAAATCGCGAATTTAAGAACCCGCGAAAATTAAGGAGAGTAAGGTAGTTACACAGCTAGTTGTACTTCGCCAGCCTATACCCCCAATAGCGTTTCTAATGGTCCGTCCCTGAGTTTTATTTACCACCCAACCTTTCACAATACATGGCATGCTGTCACTTTTCGCCGTCATGGAAGATTTAAACTGAACACTTCTTATTTAAAATCCTCAGTTAAGTGCGCCGACGGCAGTCGTGCTGATTTTTTATTCACGAGCCTTCCTTAACATATTCAATCAAAATCACATTTTTGCGACTTACGCCTGTACTAAAGAACAGTTCATGAGTCCTCTAAGATTTTTTCGATAATTACTACTAAAAATACACTGATAGTCATGATACATGTAAGTCTTAACATTATCAACAAAAAGTACATTTTTGCGACCTACGCCTGTACAAAAGCACATTTTATGAGTCTTTTAAGAGCTTTTCGGTAATTACTGCTAAACATGAAACAGATAACTGGGTTGATCGCACAGTACGCGTTAGCCATATAAATGGAAACTTCATAGGATATCCAGAAACTACACGATAAATGCGTGAGAGTGTCCTGATACAGTATGATTAAAAAGTTGATAGAGTAAGGAAACCAGCAAAACACAAACACTGTTACGATAGCAATGGACGTTTGAAGCACGTTTCTGTTTCTTCTGTCCCGCTGTTGCTGACTGTTGGCAGACTGTTCACCTGGGTGTGCCTGTGTCTTGAGCTTGATAACAATGATGGAGTAAAGAGTGACTAACAACAGCACAGGTATGTATATAAACAGACTGGAGTAAGCTAGTACGAAACTGGCATAGGACAAGGACTCTCCGAATGCTTTCTTCCTTCTCGTAACACACCAGGTTCCCTCTGGGGATTCAACGAGCTCGTTGGCGAACAAGCGTGGCGAACTGACAGCTACGGCAACTATCCACGTGGCAAGAATGAAGAAGGGACGCACCTTGGATCTGATGAGAGGTGAACGGAGTGGAAACACCACGGCTCCAAATCGATCCACTGCTATCAGAATCAGATTCTGACTCGAAACGGTAAGAAAAAGGTAGAAAAGAAAGGGAGAAGCTTACACAAGGCCTGACCAAGCGGACCACCGATAAGAAACGAGTTGGTGTGCAAGTCGGACAGGTCCCAAGGTATCAAAAATATTGGATACAGGAGATCAGACAAGGCCATGTTTGCGATGAAATAATTTATCGTTTTTTTTAAGTTCGGCGTTTTACAAACGAGGATAACAATGAGAGAATTTGCGACCAGTGAAACGATGATGATCAGACAGTAGGTAACGGTTCCCCCGATTTTCAAGGCAGAAAAATTTAAGCAGCTCCAAGATCCGCTGGATCCGTTCACCGTTGAGTTCATGCTTAGGTTTGCGACGTATCTGTGGAATTGTACGTATGCAGTCAAACAACTTTGAATTACTGCTCTCTATATTGCGTATCCTCTTTGATTCAGAACTTTTATTGGCAATTGTAAGTCCCCTGCGAAGCCTCAGCACAGCTGCTAAAAGTGAATTTGTATAATGGTGTCAGTTATCAACTCACTTTAAGCCAACCAGAGTAGGAACAAATCGATTGAAAAGATAGGGCCTAATTTTTTCATTAGCGAAAAAGTTGTTTATTAATTGAGACAAATTTTCTGTCATCATCAACGCCAAACAAATGATTCGGATGGTTTGTCGCGCTTTTTTTAAAATTTTGTCTGAGACTGGGAAGTATTCAAAGGCGCCGCGGACATAACTGTAAATGCATGTTATCACGTATGCATAAAATATGCGGTTTTTATATCATTTACTTCTCGATCGAACTTAAAATAGGAAGTTCTAAAACAAGGTGTGTTTTTTTTTCCAGTCTTTGACTGTTGCTTTTAATTGTTACAAACTTCAGTATTTGTTGGCTACAATTCTCTCGATAATGTTGGGGCATTTTTTTTCTTAACAATGACCAGAAAACCCACCCACCTAACTCATATCAATGCAAGTATTAACCTCCATGATGTGCTGCACCCATCCGAAAAGAGTTTCGCAACCGTTCATAGGGTGCGTCTTGATCTCGCATGCCATCCGTTTAGCACCAAAGTCAAAGGATTTCTACTACAGAACTTTCACATTCTAGCCAATCAGGGAATCTTGTTTACTGCAGCATATCCTGCCGCCGATGCCCAGTTCTTTACATTGGTGAAACTGAACGAAACCTCAGGAGTCGTTTTGGTGAACGTTTGCGAAGTATACGCATGCGCAACAACACTCCTGAGCTTCCTGTGGCGCAACAATTCAACTCCACGGGCCACAGTATTTCCGATTTCCAGGTGTGTGGTGTGGGGATGGCTCTATGCGGTGGAACCGACATCCAACTGAAGCAGTGTGAAATGAGGGTTTTCTTGCAGCTAGGAATCGTTCAAACCTAAAGGACTAAATATCAATTTCAGCTGCGCTCGCTATTATTTACACGCGCTCGTGCCTCATTTTTATGTCTATGACAATTGCCAAGAGGCGTAATAATAACGGTTTTCTTGATATTGAAGAAGACTGAGTTATATGCCCGAAACGCCTGTTTCCTAAAAACATTTGACACTTTTTGACTTTTCAATGCAATATTATCCTATCCGCAACTCGTAAACCAGCTAGATGAGATGTATTAGTTTTCACAGTTATATCCCGGTGTGGTTGTTAATGGACGACACTATTTGCAGTAATGAAAATATTGCTATGCCATAAATTATGACTTAGATTAGACGCAGTTTGCAGGTGCATGGCTCTTTGTTGGCCCCTGGCTGTTCAAAACCTTTTTAACTGTTTACCGACAAATTATCTGCCTTCCTTTTCCTATACAGGAGTAACAGTAATGACAATGCAGTCAAACCTCTTTAATACGGACTCCAAAGGGACAGAACCAAGTGTCCGCTTTACAGAGGTTTCCGTACTATTATAGAGGTAGGGAATGTAGGATTTTTGTCATTTCTGGGACCAAACGAACTGTCCGTAATAGAGAGGTGTCCGCATTATAGAGGTGTCCGTAAGGAGAGGTTCGACTGTATATTATTTCGACAGTGCTTAATTTACGTGTGATCAAAAGCACTTTGCACTGGAAGACCTAATTTTGCTATTTACAAGTTGATTAAACAATTGTGTTTTAACACATTAAAAAATGATATCTTTGGCCCGGTAGTACCATCATTAACTACACAAATTTGACAGTTAACCACAGGAAGCAGAGGCGAAGCTGCCTTCAGGCCATTAAGCCCAAGTTTAAAAGGTGAATATGAGGGAAAAATAAGTGCATATTATCACGTGTGCATAAAACGTGAAGTTTTTATAACATTTACTTCTCGATCGAGCTAAAAATGGGAAAACCAAAAGTCTGGTGTCGGCAAAGAGAAACTGGCAGGTTCTTCTGACAAGGGCTTGTTCAGACTCCTTTGACTGCTCAGTTTTAGTTGTTACAAACTTCAGTACTTTTTGGCTACAGCTCTTTTTTTTCGATAACGTTGTGACACTTCATTTATATATAATAGCGATTACTACTTTTAGAGTTCCAAGAGGGGCGTTTAATGACAGGAGTCATTTAAAAGAGAAAGGACTGAGTTTATTGTCATCTATGTAACAACTTACTTGTCAAAACTAATATGCTTTCGGCGAAAATGTAAAAAGAGCTTATGAATAGCGGAATATCCTGTCATCATCAACGCCTAATAAATGATGCGGATGGTTTGTCCCGCATTTTTTAAAATTTTACCTGAGATGGGACAATCTTCAAAAGCGCCGCCGACAAAATTTTCCCCCTGGAAAAAACTGGACAAAATCGATTAAATACACTAAAATGTGTTTTTCTTGTCAATTATTGTAAAGCCATTATTCTTTCCATTAACAAATGCAAGTGTTGTTAGTTGATGTGCCAATTTGAAAATACGCATATTCGATCATCAACTACACTATTTGATAGCATACAAGAAGCACTGAGGGGCATAGCCGACTTTAAGCCATAAAAGCCCAGGCTAAACAGGAATTTGAGGCAAAACTAGAAATGCATGTTATCACGTGTGTATAAAATATGCAGTTTTTATGCCTTTACTTCTCAATCGAACTTGAAATAGGTAATAAAATAAACGTTCTTCCTTAAACCAAAAGACAAGGCGTACGTGTTTCTTCCGTCAGTCTTTGACTTCTTTTAATTGCTACAACCTTCAGTATTTCATTATTAGAATTCTTGTCTCTCGATAACGTTGTGGCATTTTATCTTAAGAATGACCTGAAAACCCACCCGCGTAACTTCTGGCTTACAAGTGCGACGTCAGTTTAAGTAACATGATGGTCCGTTCCACAGATGACGCGTCTTCTGAGCAACCTGGTTCCCGCGCATGTCAGCGGCTTCGACTGGAATTACATCAGTTCTGTCGCTGATACGCGGCACTAAGCCTTTTTTCCATCCGTGACCATTCCTACTTCTTTACATTGATTAAATTGAGCTGTTCCAGGCTCTCAGATAGTCGGGGGAAAATGCACGCGAAATGTTCGCGGGGTGGAAAAAAGGAAAAAGGAATCGCTGCCCCGGCTATACTACAGCGAGCAGATTAATTAATACTAAGCCATTGTGTTTGTCTGATTTAGAAATCGATAGGTGAAAACGTTTATGATACATATCATTTTCCGTTAACATTTTCTTTTTATTTTTCAGCTTATTTCCCCCTTGCAGGAATATTTTTTTGTACTTCACCCACCCCCACCCCCCTAACGTTTCTAATGGTCCATCTCACCCTGCGCGCAGAACCTCCTAATTTGTTGAGTGACGCTAAGTGATCGAGCGACAAGCGAATGATCAGCTCTTCTGCTGAGAGGGTGCATGGTCCATCCCTGAATTTTATTCAGTGGCGGATCCAGAGGAGAGGCTCGGGGGGGCCCGGGCCCGCGCCTTATTTTTAGACCAAACTAAGGTCCGAAGGGTCGAAAAAAATTTTCTGGACACCTGCACCCCTCCTTTATCTAAGGATCTGGATGATCGCCCCCCACTTCTCATCTCAAGGTCAGGGTCCGGCACTGTTATTTACCACCCAAACTATTACAATACGTCACCTATGCTGTCACTCTTCGCAGACATGGCAGGGCCGAGGCAGGGGAGCATAAAGTGGAACACATTTCACTTCTCAAAGTACATTAACAGTCATGATAGTTTTTATTGGCAAATTTTCCACAACCTCTAACCCATATTTAATTAAACTTAATCCCCACCCGTCATGATAGAGTGTTAGACCTCGTAATTACGAATGTGCCGGACCGTGTTGGCGTGCGTGAGATGGTCAGTCCAAAAGAATCGGATGTGTTCACGGACCATGGCACGGTGTCTTTTGAATTTCACGCCTCTACAAAAGCTACTCACAAAATAAAAAGAACAGTGTACGATTATCGTAATGGAGACTTTGACGGTCTTCGGGGGAGCTCTTGAAGCCTTGAATTTATGCAATCTTATTCAAGACAGCAACGACATCAACTTGGACCGGACTTATTGGAAGGACGCATTTATGAGCGCAGTCTCGGATTTTATTCCAAAGAAAAAGATCAAGGGAAAAAACACTCCGCCTTGGATCACAAGTGAAATCATCCATGCTCTGCGGAAAGAGGAGGCTGCTCGCTCTAAGCTAAAGAAATCTCCTACAGACCATCAACGACAGAAGTATCGCGAACTGCGTACAAAAGCCTAGATTCTTATATGCGAGAGCCGTGAGATTTACTTCAGCTCACTTGACTCAGATCTCACGCAGCAGCCTAAACGCTTTTGGTCCTATTTTAAGCTCCAGAATAAAACGCGGACCTACCCTGAAACGATGAGCTCGGGTGATGACAATCAGCAGGGCCCTCAAGCATCAACGCCTCAACAGATCGCCGAGCTATTTATCTCTTACTTTTTGTCAGTTTTCACTGCTCCCTCAGAGATCTGCACTTTGTCAGCACGACGCCGGTAAACAAATAGACATTATATATCTTGACAGGAGTAAGGCATTCGACAAAGTGGATGACACCAAGTTACTTGGAAGGTTGCACCAATACGGCATTACTGGCAAACTTCACGACTGGTTCCGTTCATACTTACAGGAACGCAAGCAACAGGTTACAGTTCTAGGAGCCACTTCCCGAGAATTGCCGGTTACACCCGGGGTACCACAAGGATCCCTACTGGGGCCGATATTGTTTCTGTTGTTTGTGGATGATCTACCAAACACTGTTAAAACATCGAGAGTTGCCTGTTATGCCGATGATACCAAGATTTTCAAAAGCATCGATTCCATCGCAGACTGTAATGCCTTGCAATCAGATCTTAACGATCTTGTCAGTTGGTCCGAATCATCTGGGCTCATATTTAATCAGTTCAAGTGTAAATACCAGTGTATCACCCGCAAAAAATCACCTGTACAGCCCACCTATAATATCAACGAAACGCCTTTGGAATCTTGCGATACAGAGAAAGACCTTGGTGTGTGGGTGTCAAGCAATCTTACCTCGGACAAACAAGTGACTGAATAATGTGCGAAAGCCAACAAACTCCTTGGCTTTGTGCGCCGAGCTTCTAGGTACATCCAAAGCATCCAAACGCGTCGTACACTTTATCTTTCTATCGTCGGGTGCCATCTCGGTTATGCAACCCAAGTATGGTCACCACAGTCCATTGGCTTACTAAAGCGAGTTGAAAACGTGCAGCGCCGTGCAACAAAACTAATTTTGAAGCTTTCTTTCCGTTGCAATGTTACCTATAAGACCTGCCTCCACCTAACAAATCTGTTACCTATCTCATACTGGCATGAATTTTGGAATATAGTCTTTTTCCATAAAGCTGTTAATAACTTAGTTTTCATAGATAGTGAGGCTCTGCCTGCAACTAGACAATCAACGAGATCTATCAGGCCATCGAGCAGCAATGCTATTACTTATATCCCTAATCCTGTCCTATTACTTATATCCTATCCTCTTTTGTTTCCTCTTGATTTTTTGTTTATATATCAGTAGCTTTAGCTATTTTTTTTCAACGATTGTTTTATTTATTTATTTATATATTTTTATTTTTTAAATTAACGAGCAATCCACTGTAATTGGTTAGGCTGTAGTGGTCTCCCTCCCTAATATTTTTTATGTATTTATGTATAAGGATTGTATCCTTGTTAGGCGAAGCTAAATAAATAAATAAATAAATAATTTTTTTTCCGGTGGATAGCGCTATCCACCGGAAAAGTGAGTAGTAGGAAGCTGAAGCAGATTAAAGCTCAGCTTTCAAGCTGAGCAGATTAATGAATACTTTAAAGCAATTGTGGTTGTATTTAGAAATCAATCAGTGAAATGACATTTGGAGACCAATAAGAGGGGAAATTTTAAACTGTTATGATACATATCATTTTTCGTTTACATTTCTTTTTATTTTTCAGCTTATTTCCCCCTTGCATGAATATTTATTTTGTACTTCACCCCCCCCCCCTCCCCCATACCGTTTCTAATGGTCCATCTCAACCTGCGAGCAGAACCTCCTAATTTGTTAAGTGACGCCAAGTGATCAAGCGAGCGAATGAACAGCTCTGCTGCTGAGAGGGTGCATGGTCCATCCCTGAGTTTTATTCAGTGGCGGATCCAGGGGAGGAGCCCGGGGGATCTGACCCCCCCCCTTCTTATTTTTAGACCAAAATGAGGCCCGAAGGGCCGAAAAAATTTTTTGGGAGACAGCCCCCCTTATTTAAGGGTCTGGATGACCGCCTCCCCTCCTTATCTCAAGGTCTGGATCCTGGCACTGTTATTTACCACCCAAACTCTTACAATACGTCACCTATGTTGTCACTCTTCGCAGTCGTGGCAGGGCCAAGGCAGGGGGGCATAAACTTGAACAGATTTTACTTCTCAAAGTACATTAGCAGTCATGTTAGTTTTTATTGGCAAATTTTCCACAAACCCCTAACTCTTGATATCGACTTACGCCTGTACAAAAGAACATTTTATGAGTCTTTTGAGACCTTTTCGATGATTGCTACCCCAAACGAAGCAGATAATCGGGTTGATAGCACAGTAAGCATAAGCCATAAAGTAGGTTACATAACGGTATATCCCGAAACTACACTAGGAATACGTGGACCTGTCCTGATACAATATGATTAAGAAGTTGGTAGAGTAAGGTAACCAGCAAAACACAAACACTGTTACGATAGCAATGGACATTTGAAGCACGTTTCTGTTTCTTCTGTTCCGCTGTTGCTGAGTGTTGGTGGACTGTTCACCTGGGTGTACCTGTGTCTTGAGCTTGATAAGAATGATGGAGTAAAGAATGACTAAAAACATCGCAGGGATGTATATCAACAGGATGAAGTAAACTAGTAGGAAACTGGCAAGGGACAATGACCCTCCGTATGCTTTTTCCCATTTCGTAACACACCAGGTTCCCTCTGGGGTTTCGACGATCTTGGCGGCGAACAAGTCTGGCGAACGTACAGTTACGGCAACTATCCACGTGGTGAGAATGAAGAAGGAACACAGCTTGGATCTGATGAGTGGGGGAACGGAGTGGAAATACCACGGATCCAAATCGATCTACCGCTATCAGAATCAGATTCTGACTCGAAACAGCAGTGGAAATTAACACCACCAAAGAAGCGGACAAGCTTACACAAGGCCTGACCAAGCTGACCACCGATAAGCCATGAGTAATTGTTGTGCAAGTTGGACAGGTTCAATGGTATCAAGAATATTAGAAACAGCAGATCGGAGATGTCCATGTTTGCAATGAAATAATTTATTGGTTTTTTTAAGTTCGGCGTTTTATAAACGACCATAACAATGAGAGAATTTGCGGCCAGTGAAACGATGATGATCAGACAGAAGGTAACGGTTCCTCTGATTTTGACGCAGTGAAATTTAACTGAGCGAAGCAGTTCGGCCAAGATCCGCTGGATCCGTTGGCCGTTGAGTTCATGCTTAGCTTTGCTACGTATCTACGGAATTGTACACATGCAAGTCAAACAACTTTGAATTACTGCTCTGTATATTGCGTATGCTGTTTGAGTGGCAGAACTTTTGTTGACAATTGCAAGCTCCCTGCGAAGCCACAGCACAGCTGTCCTCTGAGGCCTTCAATAAGTGAGTTTGTTTGTAATGTTCCGCCATTATCCGCCAACCGACCTTTTGACAGAATTGAAACAGTGGGATATTAAAATGTTATAAACCATCCAGAACACTTCATTTAGGTCATGTGGTTGTATTAAAATATAGATTGAGAAGATGATTAAACAAGTGTGTTTTAACACATTAAGAAATGATATTTTTGGTAGTACCATCATCAACTACACAAGTTTGACAGTTAACCACAGGAAGCAGAGGCGAAGCTGCCTTCGGGCCATTAAGCCCAAGTTTAACAGGTGAATATGAGGAAAAAATAAGTGCATATTATCAAGTGTGCATAAAAAATGAACATGAATATGAACATATACTTCTCGATCAAGCTTAAAATGGGAAAACCAAGAGTCTGCTGTCGGCGCGGCAAAGGCTTGTTACTCCTTTGACTGCCGTGCTCAGTCTTAATTGTCACAAACTTCAATACTTGTTGGCTACAGTTCTCTTTTTCCATAATGTTGTGGCACTTCATTTATATATAATGAACAGAAAACCCACCCTCTTTTTAAATACGGTAAATGATCTTAGAGACGCCCAGGGCGATTAATGATTTTAGGGTTTCAACAGGGGGCGTTTAATGACAAGAGTCATTTAAAAGAGAAAGAAGTTTATTGTCATTTATGTTACAACCTAATTTTCAAAACTAATTTGCTTTCGGCGAAAAGGTAAAGAGAGCTTATGAATAGCGAAATATCCTGTCATCATCAACGCCTAATAAATGATGCGGATGGTTTGTCGCGCATTTTTTCAGTTTTGTCTGAGACGGGACAATCTTCAAAGGCGCCGCCGACAAAATTTTCCCCCTGGCAAAAACTAGACACAAAATTAAATCGATTAAATATACTAAAATGTGTTTTTCTTGTTAATTATTGTAAAGCCATTATTCTTTCCATAAGAAATGCAAGTGTTGTTAGTTGTAACCGGTTTAATAAGAGTTAAAAAATATCACCCACTGCTATTAAATGCAAATAGGACTATAGTTGGAAATGCGCTTATTGTAAGTGCCAATTTGAAAATACGCATATTCAAAACGTATCTTGAATTTGTGTCATATAGATGGTAAAAATACAACGCCAGGCCAAGAACATATTTAATGTGGCTCCTAGTCCCACGAGGAAGTGTAACTTTGCGGCTGAGAAAGAGTGATCAGGGAGTCTTGTGATCAAGAGCGCAAGAAATGTTTCCATCTACGAACAGTATAACAATTTCACCATGGTAGTTCTGTAGTTTCTTTTTAAACTGTTTGAAGCAGCTCCCAGGCCGGGTCGATCCGTTCCCCATTCTCGATTTTATGTTTGCTGCGCGCCTTCTGTACAACACAGTATTTATCGCGGCGATTAGTTAAAATTCAAACTTTTTAAACTTTAATTTTCATGATCCGTCTCTGGGTTTTATTTATCACCCAACCTTTTAGAATACAAGAGCTATGTTGTCACTTTTCGCCGTCATGGGAGATTTAAACTGAACACATCTTATTTAAAATCCTCAGTTAAGTGCTCCGACGGCAGTCGTAGGGATTTTTTATTCACGAGTTTTCCTTAACATATTCAACCAAAAGCACATTTTTGCGACTTACGCCTGTACAAAAAGAACATTTTATGACTCGTCTAAGATTTTTTCGATAATTATTACTAAAATACACTGATAGTCATGATACATTTATTCACGCGCATGTTCCACGAACCTTTAACTTTTAATATCATCAACAAAAAGTATATTTTTGCGACTTACGCCTGTACAAAACAACATTTCATGAGTCTTCTAAGATTTTTTCGATAATTACTACCAAAAATACACTGATATTCAAGCGCATGTTCCACGAACCTCTAACTCTTAACATCATCAACAAAAAGCACATTTTTGCGACCTACGCCTGTACAAAAGAACATTTTATGAGTCTTTTAAGAGCTTTTCGGTAATTACTGCTAAACATGAAACAGATAACTGGGTTGAGAGCAAAGTACGCGTTAGCCATATAAATGGTGACTTCGTAGTATATCCAGAAACTACACGATAAATGCGTGAAAGTGTCCTGATACCGTATGATTAAATGGTTGGTAACGTTCGGTAACCAGCAAAGCCCAAACACTGTTACGATAGCAATGGACATTTGAAGCACGCTTCTTTTTCTTCTGTTCCGCTGTTTCTGAGTGTTGGCGGACTGTTCACCTGGGTGTACCTGTGTCTTGAGCTTGATAACAATGATGGAGTAAAGAATGACTAGCAACAGCACAGGTATGTATATAAACAGAATGTAGTAAGCTAGTACGAAACTGGCAACGGATGAGAACTCTCCGAATACTTTCTTCCATTCCAGAGCACACCTGGTTCCCTCCGGGTATTCAACGAGCTCGTAAGTGAACAAGTATGGCGAACTGACCGCTATGGCAACTACCCTTTTTTGTGAGAATGAAGAAGGGACACAGCTTGGATCTGATGAGTGGTGAACGGAGTGGAAACACCACGGCTCCAAAGCGATCCACTGCTATCAGAGTCAGATTCTGAATCGAAACGACCAAGGAAACGTTACCAAAGAAAGGGAGAAGCTTACACAAGGCCTGACCAAGCTGACCACCGATAAGCCACGAGTTGGTGTGCAAGTGTGACAGGTTCCAAGGTATCGAGAATATTGGAAACAGCAAATCAGATGAAGCCATGTTTGCGATGAAATAATCTATCGGTTTTTTTAAGTTCGGCGTTTTATAAACGATCATAACAATGAGAGAATTTACGGCCAGTGAAACGATGAAGAGCAGACAGTAGGTAACGGTTCCTCTGATTTTTGACGCAGTGGAATTTAAGCAGCTCCAAGATCCGCTGAATCCGTTCGCCGTTGAGTTCGTGCTGAGTTTTGCGACGTATCTACAGAGTCGTACACATGCAGTCAAGCAACTTTGAATTACTGCTCTGTATATTGCGTATGCTGTTTGAGTGTCAGAACTTTTATTGACAATTGCAAGCCCCCTGCGAAGCCACAGCACAGCTGTCCTCTGAGACCTTCAATAAGTGAGTTTGTTTGTAATGTTCCGCCATTATCCGCCAACCGACCTTTTGACAGAATTGAAACAGTGGGGTAATATATAGATTTAGCCAGGGCTAAAAGCGAGGCTCCCATTAGTAAATTTATAATTTAAATTAAACAATAAACTTGTATTCGAATTCCACAATTCAGTTAACTTTAGAGCACATTTATGTGACTTTTGAGGGAAAGGCTACCTGATTCTAGAGAAAAATAATTTGCAAATAGCCCAAGAGTGAACCAAATCTTACATCGAGTTGATAGCCTCATATGTACACTCAAAAACTGGTAATCATCTTTTATCACATTTAAGAGCCGTAATGGCTATTGATCACCATAGACCAATTAGGCTTAGAAAAAAAACCAGGCCAACGTTTTGGCGTTCGACAAGTTTACTTTGCAAAATCTTGCCAACAAATCTGGGTGCGTGTAAACCAACCTTTTATACCATGGACAGAAAGCAGTATTTCACAATACAAATTGCTCTCATTCAATATTCATAAACTGTTAAAAAAATTTTCCAAAATCACCTATACGGCCATCCGGTTCTCACTTTTGTAGTGCGAGCTGTAGCGAGTATTTGAATGAACATTAACAGAGTTACGCTCCAAGATAATAAAGAATTTATCATGTTTATTTTTTATTTGTATAGGTAATCACATGATTTCGAGTGCAATTTGGAATAAATAAGTACGAGTCAATTTTTCAAAGACTAACAAAAGTGCACGAGCCCGTAGGGCGAGTGTACTCCTCTAATTTAGACGCATTTAAAGTGTACTTTCGAGTGCTTATTTATTCCAAATTGCACGAGAAAAATCATGTGATTACTTATTAATAATATACACGAAAAAAATAACTACAACAAAAAAATTTGACGGGGCGCGCTTTTTTTAGTTCATTCAACTGATTGGCTGAAACAGATTACAACGTTTGTCAAATGCAAAGTTTTACAAGACTGACACGTTCAAAATCATTCAAATTAGAACTTGGAAATGTGTGCGGATTGATTTAACACCTTTCAAGCGTTTTACATTTATGTAAAGGAAACTCGCTTTACAATAATCGGAAAAGTAAACGTTCAATCAGAATCATCCTCAATAATGAACGCTCGGCGTTTACAAGAACTGGGCTGTCGTTTTGAAATCTCAGGAGCTCGCTTCGAGCGGCCAATGATGAAAGACACTTGACAGTTGTTGAACGTGTTCATCATGGTCTGTTCCTGGGACCTCATCATGGTTGGATTCACGGAGAAATTCTGAGCTTGAAAACCTGAAAGTGATGGAGGGAATTGGTTTTCTTTCGTCGCTGTCATCGGCCGGCCAATGTGTGTGGTACGGGCACTTTCGTGTTTACCGGAGCGAGTGGAGCCACAGTTGTTGTGATGTCGGAAACTGCCATTCGCTTTTTCTCAGCACTGGGGTTTTCATAATTTCGTTTGGATATTGCACTGGAAAGTCGTCGTTGTTCTTCCTCGTCGGCTTCATCGTAATCGTCAAGGGATTGTACGCTTCGGTGGCCTGTGACCTTCACAATATCTGAGCTTTCAACGTTTGCTTTCCTTAGCTTGCTCACTGTTGTCTTTCTAGCACTGTGATTCGTGAACTTTTTGTGACTTTCTTCAAGGCTAGTACCCGCCACAGTTGTTTTCATCATGTTGCTAATCGTGTTTACGCCCATTGGTTGAGTTTTGAACCAGATGTTGTCATTCAGTGTTCGGTTTCTTTTGATACTGAGGTAGAAAGGACCTGACCATCGCATGTGTAGTGGTCTTCGCTCGACAAACTGCTTGAAGATAGCAATCGGACACCTTTCTCCTCCAACAGAGAACATTCGGGGCTGAAAATCTCTGTTCTTGCTCTGCAGTCCGCCCTGACTGGTCTTCGTTGGACCTTCGGTAAACTGCACGAACTCCATACCTTCGTCATTTTTGCAGAGTTGAAAATCTTCCATTTTCATTGCGTGGTGTTCTTGACGGCCGCGGAGACCAAAGAACTGCGTCAAAAGCCACCACATAGAAGAAGTAAGCGCTTCTGGAGTTTTGGAACCAAATTTTTCTGCCTCCCACAGCACCTCTTCTTCTTCCTCAGTTAAACTTCTGGCTTTATTTGGACGTTTGCCCATACCAGATTGGCGAAGCTGCCGAGCTTTCCCCTCTAAAACTTGCTTGGAATAGTGGAACTCCCTGTCTCTTATGGAAAACTTGTATCCTTTCTCGTTTAAATGTCTATCAAGTGCAGCTATCATCACTCTTAAGCTGTCTGGCTCGTAGTCGTCACCGTTTTTGTTTTTTACTTCAGCGTAGAATGTTTCATGTAGCTTGTTTAGTTCTTCTGGCTCGTTTTCCTCGATTTTGTTGACAATATTTTTCTGTTTGCACCACGTCTCCCATACATTCAGCCAGAAAGACGTACTCTTTACTGTGTTTGGGTTTTTGGAAAAATTTTTTAGCTCTTCAATCGTTGTTTCACTTGCAAAACCAAATCGTTGTTTGCTGAAAACCCCGGCCATTTTCCTCCGCGTCTTATCTCAAAATTTCCGCCAATATGTTGCTATAGAAACAGCTCTAATCTGATTGGTTCTTGTTGGTTTCTTTTGTGTTTTTAGCCAACCAGAAAGCATTTGTAATTTGCACTCGTGTTACAAGTTTGCACTCGGGTTAGACATTTTGCACTCGTGTTACAGAAGACCTGCACTCCTTTCTCAGCCAATCAGAATTGAGTAATTTTTTCGTGTATATTATTAGATGGTTTAACGCGCGGCATTTTGAGAACTCCTGCAAACGATGTTCACTGAACGACTGAAAACAATCGGCATAGCGATTAAAATTGCAAGAGAGACTACTAACAATCAATAAAAGAAATATAATTCGGTGAAACATAAACAGAGACAACAATTTTCATTCAGGAAGACAAGTATTAAAGTGTCCCTAAATATCCTGAATCTTCAAGCTTCAAGCTTAAGTTTGCTGAAGTTTATGTTTTAAGCCAGCTTCCCGGTGTTTGTTTTTTCAAAGACGAACTCGAGGCAAGAAAATCGCTCAAAGCTTTCTTTTCCGGCTAGAATTATAACTAAAGATTCTTTGGAACATTTTCTTTCTATTTGCGGTGAGAAACTGTCTAAAGGCTTTTTAAAGTTCTGTAAGATTATATCAAACCAGATACTCGGTGAGATCGTTGTCTCAAATCTTACAAACGCGCATAAACTAAATTCCCGCATAAACTACGCTCCACTTCATTAAATTAGATACAAAAAACAAACATGAAATACAATAATTTCTCTGGCTTACCATTCGAGATGCAGCTCCTGAAAGTTATCAGGTAAAGCCAGTATCGCTTCAGACTTTGCAATCCTCTTACGCATCAAGCAAGGTGAAAACGAAAACGATGCCATCCGAAATCGGATTTCCGACTTTGACAAGCGACGTTTTCTCAGCCAAAAACCCAATAAACAAACTAGCCATGAGTAACAGAAGACTCCTGATAGCAGCTGAATTTCAGTTTGTACATCCAGTGGAAAAAGACAGTTAAAAACATCACAAGTTGACACAAAACTCTGTCAGCTTCAGCTGTTAAAGTAAACAAGATTCAAGATGCTGCATAAATTTTGCGCATGAACTCACCTGTCAAATTTTGACCAATCAGAGCATAAAAATTGGACGTAGAGCGTGACCAACGCGTGACCATTGTGAGAAAAAACAAAAGCAACTGTCTTCCCTGCCTGTAACAGCTGGCTGAATTTTCACGTCCGAGGTCAGTTTGCAATCAAAATTTTAATTGTGCAGCACATAAACACAACATATTTCATATGAATTAAGAAGAAAATTGAACTTGAGCCTGCGATCACTTGAAAACTAGTTTACTTGTCAGCGGATAACTTCAAAAAATACTTGACCTCGACGGGTCGACACCTGAGCCCGCGATACGGTCAAGTGATACTGGTCAGCGGGTACTCTGTTTTGACAGCTGTCAATTGATCAAAACATTGATGTCCAATATGTGTGCATTATCAGTTTTTCTGTGCTCCCAAACTAGTAAAAGATCTAGTAAAACAGTTAACTGGTCAGCGGACAGCTTCCAAATAAATCACGTCACTTCGATGAGTTGACACATGAGCCCGCGATATGGTCATGGGATACTGGTCAGTGGCTATCCTGTTTGGACAGCTGTCAATTGACCATATTGTTAATGTCCTATATTAAAGATGTGGACTTGCCAAGACACGCCTGAGACACCCCTCCCTTTTGATAGTCTCCCCTACCCCACCCATACAATCTGTAGACGCGTACGTACGTACGCTCGGTCAATCACGTGACAACCAAACGAAAAGAGGTTGACCATATTCCATGGGTATGGGGCTCTGTCCCACGCGCGCTTCGCGCGCGCGGGAGCTCCGCTATTAAAATGTTATAAACCACTCAGAACACTTCATTTAGGTCATGTGGCTGTATTAAGAAATCGATTGAGACTGATTAAACAAGGGTGTTTTAACACATTAAAAAATGATATTTTTGGTAGTGTATCATCAACTACTCAAGTTTGACAGTTAACCACAGGAAGCAGAGGCGAAGCTGCCTTCCGGCCATTAAGCCCAGGTTTAACAGGTGAATATGAGGAAAAAGTAAGTGCATATTATAATGATATTATCAAGTGTGCATAAAACATGAAGTTTTTATAACATTTACTTCTCGATCAAGCTTAAAATGGGAAAACCAAGAGTCTGCTGTCGGCGCTGCGAAGAGAAACTACTGTAGCAGATTCTTCTGAAAAGGGCTTGTTACTCCTTTGACTGCTCAGTCTTAATTGTTACAAACTTCAGTACTTGTTGGCT